ATTTCTCACTTGCCCCCGGGTATAGAGGGAACTGTTGTGTGCAAAGGTTTGTGTACAGTTTGTATTTCAAACAATTGCTTAAAATAAACAAACAACAGTTATTAAAGCCAAACATGTAAACATGTTATAATACAAGGTAGGGTAAAAGCAAAATTTTTAAGTTTATTTATTAAACTGACCCATCACTAAATGGGATCAACTCTCTAGGCTTCCCCAGCAGAGTCGCCATCTGTCGCCGCCGTCAAAAGGGGTGGTAGGAGCGACGCGATGGTTCCGACTTCCATTTTTCGTGTTTTAATATGGGTGGAGTTACAACGCCTTTAGGTTGTCCGATAACCGGACTGAACCTAAGGGCGAAGTTTTCAAAAGAGAGCTTTTAGATCGTCCAATAACCAGGCTGACCTAAGAGCAAGATTGAGAGGGTTCTTATGGAGTCGCCACCGATGTTTTAACCAGAAACATTGAAAAAGGAAAGAAAAAGGCGTTGGTTTTTAAAAAAAAATCAACTTTGGTCATTAAAACCAGAGTTGGGTAAGGGAGTTAGTTACGTGTAAGGGAGGTATTAGCTCCCCTACGATGCCCCTTTCGGGTTCCCTATAATGGGTCAGTTATTTTATCAATAAACTTTTTGAAATGATGCTTTTATCCTTTTATTTGCAGAATTAAAAATAATGACTACATGGCCCTAGTAGCTATTACACAATTCAATGTAAGTAAAAAGGATAATAAAAGAGAGGGAGAGAGTGAAGAAACCTCCCGAGCAAGCTTTGATTAATCCTCGTAAAAAATAGGGTGCGTTTTGGCAACCCTTCGCTCTACAATGCCGTTTTTTCTCTATAAAAGCTCTCTTAAAACACTCAAAAACTCCGAAAATGCTTCGAAGGGGCTCTAGACAGGGAATTCTAAGAAAGTGTAGAAGGAAGAATGGAAGAACTGTGTGAAATGAAGGGGAGAGCACCCCCTATTTATAGGGATTCGCACTTGTCAGGTCGAGACTGTTGTCTCGCCTGGCAAGGTCGAGACGGCAGTCTCGCCATTGGGGACGGCGGTCTCGACTTTGGTAAGTGGTGAGACTGTCGTCTCATTTGGTGAGACGGTGGTATCGACTTACCAAATGCGAGAGGGTCGTCTCGCCAAATGGGAGGGGGATCTCGCCAATGGTAAGTGGCGAGACGACTGTCTCGCCAAACGAGACGATTGTCTCGACTTACCATTGGTCGAGATGGCGGTCCTGAAAAGCGAGACGGCGGTCTCGACTCCTGAAGGTGGAAATCCTTATTTTTTTGTACATAAAAGTCTTCCTACTCTAATATGGGGCCTAATAGTCTCTCCTAGTGGCTTTTTAGGCTCTGTCCATCTTCGAATAGGAGGTCTTCTGCTCTTATTTTGAGACCGGGCAAGATTTGGGGTCTACAGTAGAATTTGTTAAGATAATGCAGGGAGAATTTGAAATGTCAATGATGGGAGAATTAACATTCTTCCTTAGACTTCAAATCAAACAACTTAAAGATGACATTTTTGTCTCTCAAACCAAATATTGCAAAGAGATTCTCAAGAAAATTGGAATGGACACTTCAAAGGAAGCTAACACACCCATGGAAACTTCATGCTATTTAGACAAGAATGAATTAGGTTTGAAAATTAATCAATCTATGTATAGAGGTATGATAGGTTCACTGTTATACTTAACTGCAAGTAGACCTGATATTATGCATTATGTTTGTGTGTGTGCTAGATTTCAAGCATGTCCAAAAGAATCTCACTTAACTGCAGTAAAAAGAATTTTAAAATATTTAAAAGGAACTACAGGTTTTGGTTTATGGTATCCATCTGAAGCTTCTCCTAGTTTAATAGGTTATTCTGATGTTGATTATGGTGGATGTAAAATAGATAGAAAGAGTACTAGTGGAACATGTCATTTGTTAGGATCATCATTAGTGTCTTGACATTCTAAGAAACAAGCATGTGTTGTTTTATCCACTACTGAAGCTGAATATATTGCAGCTGGTAATTGTTGTGCTCAAATTTTATGGATGAAACAACAATTAGAAGACTATAGTATCTTTCTAAGTGATATTACTTTGATGTGTGATAATACAAGTGCAATAAATCTTACTAACAATCCAGTAATGCACTCTAGAACTAAGCATATAGAGATTAGACATCATTTCTTAAGAGATCATATTAGTAAAGGAAATTGTAAAATTGAATATGTTGATACAAAGCATCAATTAGCAGATATTTTTACTAAACCTCTTCCTAAGGATAGATTCTATGATCTTAGAAGAGACTTAGGAATATTATAAATAGCTTAAAATCTGCTTAACTAATCAATTTTTGCATGATTGTACTGTAATTAATATAGATGATAGGGTTTGTAACTTAGAAGATAGATTTGATGCTCAATTCAATAGTAATGCAAGTGAAGAGTTTTAATCTCTTCCTCATATCTTCTTGTTTGTAATTACTTTAATTTATTTGCTTTCTTTGAGGGGGAGCTATTTTCTATATCTTATGCACTTATTGAGGGGGAGTTATCTTATAAATATGCACCTATTGAGGGGGAGCTTTCAATTTTTTTGATCATAATTAAAATACGGGGAGAAATTATTTAAAGCCTCTTATGTTTATTAAATTTAAATGTTATCTGGTGTGTTTAATGTTTTTGTTAGTTGTGACAGATAAAACAGGTTATTACAAAGGGCTTTAAAGGAAATTTTGATCATCATCAAAAAGGGGGAGATTGTTGAACATACAAGGATATGAATGTTGAACATACATGGATATGAAGCTTGTTGATTTTGATGATGATTCAAGAATAAAGGACTTAAAGATTTGAAGACTTGTAATGATATGTAATAACTCTATTTTATGATTTTGAGTCTGTAATATTAGAGTCTAAGATAGTCAGCACATAGTCCACTCTTTAAAGACTTTAAAAACTCATTTTTATCAAAAACATACTGGATTAATCGATTAAATGGCAGGATAATCGATTATTACAGAGAGAAAACCATTTTCAACATATGCTCTCTGGAATAATCGATTAAACCCCCTGTTAATCGATTAACTGGGTTGTTAATCGATTAAATGCCCAGTTAATCGATTAAACTGAGCTATTTTGGGTTCCCTGCGAAGTTGGCTCTGGAATAATCGATTAACACTCAAGATAATCGATTATTTCAGTCAGATATGTGTTTTGAATTTCAAAATTGGACCAAGTTTCAAAAACCCTATTCCCAATTCTTTCAATTTCGAAAATCCCCAATTCCCAAACCCTAATCTTTCTACTAAAGGTTCTCTGAGCGCTCTGCAAGTTGAACAACCTTTTTCAAACAAAAGTTGAGAGTTTTGACTGCCAGAGAACTGTTTGTTGGAGGAAAAAGGGGCTTTTGAAACCTAGTGTGGGCTAGAATCGATAAGAATCACTGAGTGGGTTTTCTTAGTGGATTGAGTGTCGTGCCATCTCTAGGGAAAGCTGTTCTTCATCCTTTGTGGGATTCAAAGGAGGTGTTCATCTCTTGTGTGACTCAAGAGAGGTGTATTCTTTACCTTATCTTTTCATTTGTAATTTGTTTGTATAATTGTGATTATAGTGACAACGTTAATCCTCTGTTTGAGTGATTAGCAACTGGACGTAGGGTCTTTTGATCCGAACCAGTATAAATCGACTGTGTAATACTCTATCCTTGCTTTATTTACTTTACACAACATTTTAATCAGTGAAATTTGGGAAAAATTTTAAAACCCTAATTTTTGTTTAAGAAACCAATTCAGCCCCCCTCTTGATTTTTGTCCGTAAACGCAAATATTCCGCTGCACGATTCTAACACATTCTCTCGATCAATGGGTCTATCAAAGTACATCTTGACTATCACAGTGTTATTAAATTTTCCACTCACTCAGTTTGCATGCACTATAAAGTGCATGTGCATTTTGTAAAACATGTATGTCACATCATTGCTTCAACCAATATTATATGGTATCTTAACTAACGCGGTGTCCTTGACCTATTCACTCACTCGGTATGCATGCACTATAGAGTGCATGCACATTTTCAAACATGAGTATACCATGTTATCACCTTAGTCAATGGGTTTGTTAGAGGGTCTCTTGATTAACATGATGTCCTTGACTTATCCTCGGACTACATGCACTATAGAGTGCATGGGTGTTTTTGGACATGCATGTTACACATCATCAATTGACCAAAGTTATGACTTGATTATATTAAATGTGATGTTATGACTTGACTGTAATAGATTTGGTGATTATGACTTGATCATATTAAATTTGGGAATTGTGACTTCACCATATTAAATTTGGTAACTGTGACTTTACAAATTGAATCTTTTATAAATACAAATGTAAAGCTTTCACAAATCTCATAAGACATTTTTGTCTTTGTAACCTTACCCTCTCAAACTCTCTTCCACCCATGTTTTATATCCTTATTCTATCAAAATCATTTCTTCTCAAATTGTCCTTGTTCATTGTGATGGATAACATCGACATCGAAGAAGTCACATTCAAATCACCAGTACCGAAGGTTCTTTTCATTAGGAAAGGAATGTATATGCAAAGATTGAAGAAGCCTATTAAATTGTCATAAAGAGAACCATACAAAAAGTTGCCCACCATTCGCTTTTGCTACCTATTAAGAATTAGGTCAGGGTTATACAAGTACACTATTGTTGAGCTAATCAATGATGACGATATCAATGCAATGTTTCACTACTACAAAAATGCCAAATAGTAATCGAAATCAGTGACTGAAAAATTTAGTTACTATCAGTAACTGAATCAGTAACCAAATTATTATTTTTTAGTTTAATAACTGAAATAGTAACTGAATTTTCGGTTACAAAAAATCAGTTACTATTTCAGTCACTATTTTATTTAATTTAATTTTTTTAATTAATTTAATTATTTAATTATTTCACTCACTCTAACATACCCTAACAAATTTTCGTTTTGCTCTCCACTAATTTACCCCAATTTCATCCCGCTCTACTTGTATGCCCCAATTTCATCCCCAATTTTATCCCGCTCCACTTATTTGCCCTAATATCATCCCGCGCTCCACTAATCTGCCCAATTTCATCCCGCGCACCACTAATCTGCCCCAATTTCATCCCGCTCCACTAATTTGCCCCAATTTCATCTCGCGCTCCATTGATTTGCCTCAATTTCATCCTGTTCCACTAATCTGCCCCATTTCATCCCGCGCTCCACTGGTCGCCTTCGTCTCTCCGTCCCCAATCCTCCAGCCTTCAGTAAATCCAACATGACGACCTGAAACCCACCTGAAACCCAACAGCGACATCGAACCCCAACCCTAACCCTAAACCTCGACGACCTTGAATCGAAGCGACCTGAAACCCTAAGCCTCTGTGAGCTTGAACCTAACCCCGGCAACCTCAGTTCCAACCAAAACCCACGAAACTTCGTACTAGAACCCTAACCCTGACGAACTTGATGTTGTCGAGGCTACTATCAAGCAACAGGTACTCTGCTTTCAGCATGTGTTTCGTTATAAGTATGGTTCATTGGGTGGTGCTTGTTCATTATTTCAATACGTACGATGTTTAATCATTAAGGTGTATTGCCATGCGGTTCAAGTTTCAATGCTTTGATTATGGCTTATTTAATTGTGTATTTGTGTTTATGTGTTCTGGCGACTTCTTCCATATCATTCCATATCACTTGTTTATGTACTAATTACTTTCTGTCATTCTGCTTTTTGAATCTGAATTTTGTTTTACAAGAAGAAGGGACATCAATAGTATAAATTTTTCCAATCCCTAAACATACACTGGCAATATATTCTAATTTTATGGATATGAAGTTCAGAAAGCATAAGTGAATTTGAAAGTGAAATTTATTAAAATAAATATTAACCAACTCTATATCGACAAATTTGAACTTGAAGATTTTTCCTATATATGTTGATAGTAACAACTCTCATGTTTTCAATAAAAGTGAGGTCCTTCGGATCAGAGACTTGTTCATAGACTTTAATCTTCCATGAAATGACTTCCTTAGACCTTATGAAATTGTAGACTTCATTCTCCTGGATCTCTGGTAAGTCACAAAAACTTCCATATAGTGTTTAGCTGAAGTTGGACACTAAACAATATAACATTGGTTGAATTCTCTTTAGGTGGTCAAATATTATAATATCAGTTTTAAGTTTCAGTCTTATTAATTGAATTCTCTACTATAGTTCATGTCTCATCTTTCAAAGTTTGATTAAAACTGTGAAACTAAATTTTGCTTTAATTCTATTAGTATTTGATGTGACTGCTCCGAAACAGGGGTAAACGTCATTTTGTCAGCATTTCTCTACTCATGATTGATTTTTGTCAAGGTTGTTCTACTGCAATGATCAATTATGCTTTTTGAATATTCAACGACGTGATTTCACGCGGATTTTTCTTTTGTATATATAATAAGTAAAGTCTTGGGATTACGTTAAATGTGGCAGTAGTTAATTAGATACTTATACATGCTGCTTCACTAAAGAACACAGATCTGATGGAGTTGTGTGATTCACTTCATTCAAGCTTTAACTATTCACTTAATTTACAGTAAAACTTTAAAGATCAACTGAGATATTCAATACATGCATAAATTGCTTCAATTCACGAAGATAATTATTTCTCTGCTAACGAAAGAAGTTTGATCTTCAAGAGCAAGAGTACTGTGGTTGTCTCAACGATCACTTCTTTTCCTATTTTTTTTTTTTAGGAAAACATGGGGCTATAGGTATAGGGCTCTTACCAGAAATATATGTTTGTGAATTGAACGTACTTTGTCTTGATCCATGCAGTTTATTAAACTGAATTGCTGCTATAATTATACTGTCACTGGAACTATAGAAGCCAATATATATGTTTCTTTTTATATTGATTAGCTTCTCCTTCTGGTTAGAACATTTGTAAGAACTCTAAAGTTTACGGGTGAATTTTCATTGAGTGTGTTTTTAAGGGAAATGATGAGATATTTCAAGAGTACTACATGTCTTTAAGGATAAATTGTTACACTTCAAGACTAATTCTAAGTAGTTTAATTATGAAAAAAAATAGTAATCAATTGTGTATAATGTGAGAATTAGTGAAAATAATTTTGTATACTTAATAATTTATTTCTCCGTAGTTCTTTTTAATAGTAATTAGTAGTCTGTTATTCGTGTAATGATGTTATGAAGGAGTTGAACAGGAAATTATTGAGTAAATTATTAGTTACATGTTCTTAAACTAGGTGAGTTAGTCAGTCCAAACTAAATATATGTGAGTTCTGGAAAAGTATCCATCTTTTGGTTGCTTCTCAATTTAACTTCTATTCATTTTCTCAGTTTAGTCTTTTTGAGATACCATGACAATTAAACGAAAATAATGTGCTATGATAAGTAAGCATTGAATAATAGAGATGTTATGGCTTGTTCATGATTATATTCTTTGTTGCTGTCAAGTTAAGAATTTAAACGAATCCAATTAATATTGGAAAGTTAATGCTCTACCACTCGTCAATGATGAATATGCTGCTTCATAGTGTGATCCATAGCCATCTATATATAGAAAGACATATTTTTGAATTGTTTTATGGTTGTTCTGCTACTTCTTATGTTGTCACAGTGAGTGTTACCTCTCCAAGTTCAGGGATAAGTAAAAGTGCACTGGCTGGAATAGTCTTAGGTGCAATTGCTTTTTTGGTTACTTTATCTGCAATTGTCACGATTCTCATATGGAGAATACGCTTGAGATATAATCATACACCTTCCAAACGACCAAAAGGTGAGTACCTTAAAGTTAATAACCTAGCATATTATTATTATTATTGTTATTCCTTCTTTTTTTACTTGCTTCAGTGCTCTTGCTCTGTCACAATCAGAAGTGTAGATGTTACTGCTCATAATTTTATTTTGAATGAACCATATTATAAATTTGATTACGTTTATTATCATTCAGAATAGTCAATGTTCTCATGTTAAACTTTTGGGATTGTTCCTGACATTCAAAATATTCAATCCAAGTAAAAGTATGATGAAAGTTCTTACAAAAACATATGAACGTGGATAGAATAAGAGTAATTCACGCATCACGCAATTGATTCAATTATTGAACCTGTATAATTATCCCAAAGTAATGTGACATTATACTTAACATTCCACTTCTTTTGGTCTTTTTGACTTGGACTTTATTTAATTGATGAACAAGATGGAGGTGCATAGTGTAACTTTTGTGATAATTGATAAAGTTAGGAGATAATACCAGTATTTTTTTTACTTGTTATGAGCTATGAACCTGGGAACAGATAAGGCTAAGAAGGTGCAAACACCCCTCCACTGCACTCTGCCCATACATGTTAGTTATGCTGTCAAATGTAAAAAAAATTTGAACCCGGTTCAGATATTCATCCAAGAGCACTATTGATTTAGCTTACACTTCTTGTAAATTTACTTTTTCCCAATTTATTTGTCATGAAACTTTAAAATCACCTGCTTTTAGCTAAATTTACTGTCTCCTTGTTTTGTACTTGGAGTTTTGAAATGCGAGGTGCCAACATATTAAAAAGTTCACTAAACAAGGCACGCATGATAATGAAGAAGCCAAATTGGCTTGCAGAAGATGTATGGGATATCTTATGCCAACATTGGGGATCAAAACAATTCAAAGTAAAAAGTTTGATTGCAAAAGCAAATCGAGCTTCTGATTGTGATGGACTTGGAATTTCACTCCATACTGGTGGCTCTATTAGCACTTCTCAACATAGAGAACATTTGGTAAAGTTTGTTTTATACTCCTTTATGCATGTATTAGTCCTATATGTTGTACTTTTGAACCTATAATGTATATGTGAATTATGGAACCCTGGAATACATTTAGGTGTGGAAAGAATGTACATTAGTTAGCTCAAATTTCATTGCATGGTGTTGTTTATGATGGAAGAGAAAAATAGTTATTACATTACCTATTGTCATGTCTTGACAAACTTCTTTTCTTTTATGGTGGATATTGCATTTCTAAGTTTGTGTTTGTAACCATATTTTAGATAAAGTTGAATGGAAAACCCCCTACCCCATCAGAGTTGTTTCGCAAAACACAAACGAAAGGATAACACATGGGTGGATCAAAGATCAGCACATGTAGATGTAAGTTTCTTATTTTTCTTCTTATGTTAATTTCTTAAACAATTGTATCCTTTTTTATGTTTTTATCCAATTCACTACTATTCTATTTTAATGTTTATAGGTAGAGTTTAGTCGTGCATGGGAAGAAGCCTCCCAATCAGGATCTATTGCAGGAGGCTCTCCGCCTGATGAATTACAGGTTTGGTGTGAAGTTGCTGGAATAAACAAAGGCAAAGTATATGGGCTTGGATCTGAGTCAAACAAAGCAATTGGGAGAAATGTTTGCCACGACTCTACTTCATCATCTGTCCAACTTATGAGAGAGGAGATTGAACAATTAAAACACAAGTTAGAGGAAGTTGAGACTGAAAGGGATGATCTCCGTGAAAGAATGTTAACTAATGAGAAACAAATTCAGAAAAATGATAAAATGTTGCTCCTCTTGATGGAGAAGATGGATGTTCAACCTCCTGAATTGTGAACTGATTCTATTTTGTATATTGTATTTTTTTTGTTAGTTTCTGACATATTCAGAATTATGACTCTTATTTTAGTTTATTTTACTTACTTTTAGATTGAATTTTCAATATGTAAGAAAGTATTTAATTAATGAATGACGAATTTATTTAGAACAAAATTTGTAATATTATTTTGAATGTTATCTTAGGTAGTGAAATTTTCATATATTTAATACCATATATATATATATATATATATATATATATATATATATATATATATATAATATTTTATATTCCTTAATCGGGTTTATCATTATTTTACAAATAATATAAAAAAATTAAAATAAAATTAGTAATCGATATAGTGACCGATTTAGTCATATATATTTGGTCACTAAATCGGTCACTGAATCGGTCACTAAACTAAATCGGTCACTAAATCGGTCACTGATTCGGTCACTGATTCAGTCACTAAATCGGTCACTAAATCGGTCACTGAATCGGTCACTGAATCGGTCACTGATTCGGTCACTAATTCGGTTACTAAATCGGTCACTGAATCGGTCACTGAATCGATCACTGATTCGGTCACTGATTCGGTCACTGAATCGGTCACTGATTCGGTCACTGATTCGGTCACTAAATCGGTCACTAAATAGTCACCAAAGAAATAGTGACCGATTCTAGTTGGTCACTATTTCGGTCACTATTTTAGTTAGTGACCGATTTTGGTCATTTAGTAACCGAATTTTCGGTCACTATTTAGTGTTTTTCTTGTAGTGTTTGAATTTTTCAAATTTGAGGTATTCTTAACTAATATTGAATTATTCGTTACATTTCAATCTCATTTATCTCACCCTGAAATACCATTATCTCTTCCCTCACCTTCATATCAACCTCAACCATCATACCACCCTCAACCTAAATCTTC